AAAAAAAAAAAAAAAAAAAAAAAAAACCGGTAGTTCTGGCCACGCATCGTCTCTGCCAGATGCCTTTTCACTATCTCAGCGTGTATTTAAAAATTTCAAGTTGCGTGCTGTCACCGCGCTGCTCCCCAGATGCAAACATGTCTCGCAGAATCCCTGCGGAGTTTGATTGTTCTCCGGTAGATTCGCTCGGTGAGCCGAGCCGAGCCGAGCGGAGTTTCCATTCGCGCCAACTGCACTGTGAAATGCCGTGACAATCCCGACAAAGCACAATGCCGTTCGCCACTGTATTCGAGTATTTTGATCCTTTGGCTGGGTAACGCCGACCAACCGTTTATAAATTGAGTTTTCATCCAGGATTAACGGCTTACGCAATGGGAAACCTGTGTCGATGCAATATATTTCGGATCTTTTAGGGATTATGCCTTCGCCGAGGACCACTCGGCGACGACTCATTTACGGTTAGCAGGACCCTCCATTTCGAGATCGAGTTTTGATACTTGTTTTATATTCGTACCGATTGTCAGATAAACATGCAGCATCCAGCACGATGCTTGCGTAGCTTTTATTCAACGTGACGGCATGTCGCACGCGACAAACAGAAGGAGAAAGAGAGTGGTGGATATGTACACGTGCAGAGAGAATATATACACCCATAGAGAGGGAGAGAGCGAGAGAGCGAGAGAGAAGATCCCTCTTGATAAACGATCGCCCTGGGCCACGTTCGACCGATTGGAGCGTTACACGTCCTTCGAACGAGACTCGTGACCCGAATCGCTTTCCAGAGGCAGGTTTCCTTTTCGAAATTTTGAATCTCCGAGTGCGCCACAATGCCGGCCAACTGCACTTTGGTGCAACGTGCGTCGCTGCACTGCGCGCTGCGTGAGAAGAGCGAGTGTGAGATAGGCCATATGTCGGAGTGACCATTCCCTTCTCGAATCTATGTTGCAGGTTCGTCGAGGCACGAGCTGCTCTCCCAGGAGATTCGTCAAAGTGGGTCGTCGAGTGCGAGTGCAGTGCGGGGACGGTTGTCTGTGCTCAGTGTGCCTAACCCCGCGTGTGTGCAACAGTCGGAAGACCACCTGCAGTTTGCTGCGTGCAGTGCCTGTTTATTCTGTAAGATGGACGAGTGAATAGAGACGGGAGTCCCGATCGCATCCGGACGCGATGAAGCCACGACGATCGTGGGTCCTGGTGCTGCTGCTGCTCTTCTGCGCCTTCCTCGAGGAAGCGCGTCCCTTCACCTCGGACGAAGGTAGGCGCAGTCGACGAGGAGAGTGCTCCTTCGAGTTAGCCCCGATTCTTCAGCCTAAGGTTCTCTTGGAAGGATGGATCGACCTGCAGCGGCGCTCGGCCGACTGGATCCTCCGTCTTCTTCTCTCGTTCTCCATCCCTTCGCCCAGTGCAGCCCGCAGGCAAATGAGAAATACTCGCGGTCGCGGAGGGACGGAGGGACGGAGGGAGGGAGAGAGGACTAATTATTTTCGTGTGCGAGTGACGAATGATTCCACCTTTCTTTGGTGAGAGTAAATGGGGGCGGGCGTCGCCAGAGCTAACGGCCGCCCCTTCCCTATTTGTCCGTCGCGACGCATCGCCGATTTTTCACCCTCGGTGCCCTCTTGAACCCTGTCGCTGATCCCTGCGTTTCCCACTCTGCTTGTCTTTTGGCTTCGGCTCCGATTTCCCCTGCTTCTCCCGTGTCGGCCAGCTCTTGTCGCGCCTCCAAGCTGCCTCGTGGAAAAATGCGGACGGCCGAGTGCCGCCAGGACGCCTCGCGGCCTCTTTCCATCCGGGCCGGTGCCTCCCGTCAACGCGTTCCCGGCAACGCAGCCCCGAGTCCCTTCGGTCGTGCACGCTTCGCCAGCGAAAGGTCGGGTCAACTTTAATTATAATAAATCAAATGCGATGCCGCCCGCAGAGCTCGCGATTATGCAAGCACGCGTTATTGTTTGATCCGTGCAGGGAAACGTGGCCAGAGTGCCGGGAGGATCCTTTGAGCTCAGGTAAAATGGGTTGGAGGGGCCAATACAGAGCTAAAGCAAAGGGAGGGCCGGTCGGGTTGCACCTGCGCCTCTTAAATACTTGAGGATAGGGTAGGAGCGGTATAGCCTATAGGGTTGCGAGGAGTGACATAGTGGTAAGGTTAACGCGGCGGAATGACTGGATGCTGGGAGACTGAGCTCTTTCACGGGGAGTTCGTAGTCACGGACATTGATGTAATCGCGGCAATGGAAATCCAGGGAGCAGCGAATTAACGAAATTTCGTGAAATTGTTCGGCGAGCCGCGCTCGATGCCTTCGGTGCTCTCCATTCGGCGCGCTCGCGTTTGTTCGAGCCCACTCTTTCGTTTGCTATAGCCGTTCGGTTCGCCTCTCATCCGCTAGCTGGTTGGCTGGTTGGCTGGTTGGCTGGTTGGCTGGCTCGCGAGTTTCGAATCCCAGCGAGAGTGGCTATCCACGGGGGGCGCTTATACCAGGCCACGTATCTGATTCTGTTACACGCTTAATTACACGCTTTAACCGATCGCGCTGGCGGTTTTATTATACGCGTCTTCCGGCCTCCTCTCAATATTCCGATCTATCTCTCCCCCTGGGGGCAGCCGGTCATGAGTCCGGATAATCGAAGGCCCCATTATTTTAAAAGCCGATAGGACCTCGAGGCACGACTGCCCCCGGGAATCTTTGGGAATCCCAAGAAATCCCAAGTCCCTCCTGCCCTCGCACCGGCTGGAGACTCACGCGACTATGGAAACGACTAAAATAACGAGCGACGGTGCGAGGCAGCAGGGAGACAAAGGAATGCCTGTTCTTCGGTTCCTCGGTGCTTCTTTCCTTCTCGACTCCTCCGACACTCGTACGCTCTTAGGTAGCTTCGTTAATTAGCAGGGAGCGCAGTGTGTGGTCTAGGTACTAGGTACCAAAGTAGCCCGTGCCCGGACGCGCCGTGTCTTCCTACTCTCCGTCAGGACGTAACGTCCTTTCACTGTGACAATCTCTACCCGAGGGAGGAGCTCGTTCTCCCGGCCCGTCGCCGATCCCGTGAGCCTGCGCTGCGACCGGTCCACCGAAATTTCCACGCGCCCGAGTATCGGTTACGTGTTACGCGTGTTACGCGTGTTGCGTGCGTTGGCTGCGTTGGCTGCGTTGCGTGTGCCAGAGTCCCGGGCCAGCACAGATAGACACGAGTACCGTTGGCTGGCCAGGAGGACGTAACGAGCAGCCACAGTGCTCGAGTGTTCGGTTGATTAACGCGAGGACTCTGTGGAACTGCGGCTACAACCAATAACCTTTCGCTCCCGTTTCTCGATCGGAGGGAATTATTGGAAACCGATGAAAATTCCCTCCTGCTCCTGCTTTTTTTTCTGCTCTGGCGAAGCAGTGGGTCGATCGCGCGGGGCTTTAAATATAAGCGGTACTGAATTGCCTTGTGAAACGTGGCCGCTTTCACCGGTGCCTGTTAAGCCTCCCCCCGTCTCCCCCAAGTCCGATCTCGTTAACGTCGATCGGCAACGCTCGGTGTCCCGAAGCTACGGTGCAAGAGCATTCCTCGACGATATCTCCTTGCAGAGGCCGACGATGCTGCCGAAGACGAGGAATCCTACCTCCTGGAGGAGGACGACATGCCCTCCGCTACGATAGTCAGCGACACGGAATTCATCTCGGAAGGCGGCGGCTACCTGCCCGTCTTCCTCACCGAGCCCGTCGACTCCTTCGTCGTCAAGGGCAAACCGGCAATCTTGCGCTGCAAGGCGTCCCACGCTCTCCTGATATATTTCAAGTGCAACGGCGCGAGGGTCGAGGGCACGCAACAGCAGGACTTTGTCGACCCACATACCGGAACGAGGATCGTCGAGTGCGAACTGAACGTGACGAGGAACGAGATCGAAGAGTACTTTGGCAAGGACAAATTCAAATGCGAGTGCTACGCGTGGTCGGGCTCCGGACAGATAAAGAGCCAGCCGGCTTCCGTGGACGATGCCTGTAAGTACGTCGGGAGCTGCTTCCGCACTCCGCGTCTCCGGGAAACGGTGCTCGAGCTCCTTCCTGTCTCTTGCAGATTTGAGGAAGCAGTTCGAGTCGCCGCCATATTCGATGTCCGTCGAAGCAGGCCAGAGTGCCGAATTGAGGTGCCTGCCGCCCGTGGGGGTCCCACCGCCCAGAGTCTACTGGCTGCGGAATGGCGCACCCTTGGACGTGGATACCGACACCCTCCTGGTTTCCAGCGAGGGACATCTTCTCCTAGGACAAGCCAAACTCACCCACCAGGCCAACTACACTTGCGTGGCCGAGAACATCGCGGCTAAGCGGCTGAGCGAACCAGCCAGTCTTACGGTCTACGGTAAGATCCCGGATCCTCCTGGGGCCGCAGGACCAGCAGCAGCACGCAGTCACGTTCGATTGATCGAGATCGGGCTTTCTCGAAATTTCAGTTAACGGAGGCTGGTCTTCCTGGTCTTCCTGGTCCGCTTGGTCGGAGTGTCACTCGCGTTGCGCGAAGGCCGGTCAGAAGCGAACCAGAACTTGCACGAATCCACCGCCGATAAATGGCGGCCAGCCGTGCTTGGGACCGGCTATGCACAAGATGGACTGCAACGCCGGGTGTCCAGGTGAGTCCTCCGAGCTCCCTTCCGTAGCACCTGCCTTGGCAAATGCCTCCTCCACTCGCACTTAACGAATTTTCGAACTGGAGGGTAAGTCTGGTGATTCTGTGCTTAATCGAGCGATCGATCGCAGTCGATTTCGCCGAAATCGGTTCGCCTCGCTTCCCTCTAACGGCTATTTCTGTGTATTCTCACGTTTGTCTTCGCACGCTTTCTCGGGAATAGTGGGAGCCCTCGAGGAGTTCTCCAATACTCTGGGTAAGTCCCTTACGAGATAAAGGATAAGAGAATCGAGCTGACGCTATCACCGTCGTTTTTCCCGGGAGTTTTCGTCACTCGAGTCTTTTTCTCTCTTTTTTCCTCCTTCTATTCACTTCTCCCTCTCATTCCTTTTCTCCTCTTTCCCTGCCCCTTCTTGCTCTGTTTGCCTACCTCTTGGAAGCTCGTGACTCGAAAAAGCCGTTCGCAAATCTTACCAATGTTAGCACACCCAAAAGTTCCGAACTCCCTTCGACAGAGAGAGTTTTCTGTTGGCAGTCGTCGACGGGGGTTGGTCCAGATGGTCAACCTGGTCTGTCTGCGGGACCGACTGCACTCACACGAAGAGAAGGTCTTGCGACGAACCTGCCCCGAGTCACGGGGGTCGCACTTGCCCGGGCAGAGACTTCGCCGTAGCAAACTGCACCGGAGGGATGTGCAATGGTAAACTTTTCACTACTGCACTCTGTATGTACACAGCTACGGTTTCTTTTTTCCTATCTGGTGCCGCAGCCAGGGAGTAGGAAAGGCATGAAAGATGAAGTAAGGAAAAAAAAAAAAAAAAAAAAAAAAAAAAAAAAAAAAAAAAAAAAAAAAAAAAAAAAAAAAAAAAAAAAAAAAAAAAAAAAAAAAAAAAAAAAAAAAAAAAAAAAAAAAAAAAAAAAAAAAAAAAAAAAAAAAAAAAAAAAAAAAAAAAAAAAAAAAAAAAAAAAAAAAAAAAAAAAAAAAAAAAAAAAAAAAAAAAAAAAAAAAAAAAAAAAAAAAAAAAAAAAAAAAAAAAAAAAAAAAAAAAAAAAAAAAAAAAAAAAAAAAAAAAAAAAAAAAAAAAAAAAAAAAAAAAAAAAAAAAAAAAAAAAAAAAAAAAAAAAAAAAAAAAAAAAAAAAAAAAAAAAAAAAAAAAAAAAAAAAAAAAAAAAAAAAAAAAAAAAAAAAAAAAAAAAAAAAAAAAAAAAAAAAAAAAAAAAAAAAAAAAAAAAAAAAAAAAAAAAAAAAAAAAAAAAAAAAAAAAAAAAAAAAAAAAAAAAAAAAAAAAAAAAAAAAAAAAAAAAAAAAAAAAAAAAAAAAAAAAAAAAAAAAAAAAAAAAAAAAAAAAAAAAAAAAAAAAAAAAAAAAAAAAAAAAAAAAAAAAAAAAAAAAAAAAAAAAAAAAAAAAAAAAAAAAAAAAAAAAAAAAAAAAAAAAAAAAAAAAAAAAAAAAGACGAAGGGGAGGAATGCCTTCATCTTCTCTGCCGTCCCTTTCCTACTCCCTGTGGTTCGCCTCTTACGTTCACACACGATACCAGAGGATATCGGCGCGATATCGCAAGGTATCTTGCATCCAAGCATCTCAGAATTGACACGAGATAAAAACTGTTTCGATGGTTCCAGTAGGTAGCGCCAAGATGGGAGGTGCTCAGCTGACGGAGGAAGGTAAGTCTCTTGTACAAACAAACAAGCTTTTCCTAACAATTTCACTGTCATCGAATCGTCGAACCGACAAACCGTCGAACCACCGAGGAGATAAGAGTCTCTTTTTTGCCGGTAGCTCGTCCGAGAGAATATTTAAATTTATGCCGCCCCAGCTACACGGTTCGTTTGCGTGCTGAATTCGTCGATAAGATAGAATATAATCTCCATTGCGTCGGCCCCTAGTTCGTTCCTCCGGGTATACTTGTGAGACTGGGGCTAACCTAATCTCGTACCGGAGAGAAGCCACCGGTGGCGGCAACGTGCAGGAAGGGTGGCTAAGCTGTTCAGCCATTGTCGTAACGAGGCGATCGCGAAACCTCAAGATGTTCAAAGGGACCGAGTCTACGCATATTGCTTGCGGCGGCAGTTCTCGTTGGGCTGCGGGGGTG